GTGCCCCCCCCCCCCCCCCCCCCCTTACTCCTTGCATATTGTAGCCCTCTCCTCTTTTGAGAGCATCTAGTTGCTGTTCCCTACCTGCTCTGACAAAATGGTCACTTAATAAATAAATATATATATTTATTTATTAAATAGCACCACCACAATCAGGATGTGGTGACTGCCAAAACACACAAACATTTTTGGGCCCTTAGGAGCTTTTTGCCATAAAGTGCAAGTATGTACACCATAGATGGCACTGCAGTGTCTGTACTCTGTTGCCAGTACTTCCATATTCACCCTGTCTTCTCCCAAGTTCAGAAGTTATTTTGCCCTGACACGGAATCATGCAGGGTCTGTACCCTGCACATGGACGGCTGAGTGACAGAACAAAATAGTGATAGGCAGATAGAAGCAGCCATGACAGGAGAGACGTACACAGAGGGGAATTTATCAAAAAAAGAATTAATTGCCCATAGCAACCTATCGGCTTCTGACTATATTTTTCAAACCTTAAAGAAAAACTCCAGGAAAAAATGTTATTAGCCCTTGCAGCTGGGCTACTTACACACTGCAAGGGTGCTAAAAAACCCCACAGTTATACTCACCAGACCATCCAAGCTGGCTTCTTCATAATCCGGTGTCTGGAGCGTCTCTCCTCCTCTGCTGCAGTGGTGTAAGGATCCTGGTGTCTTCACACTCTATACACTGTGCATAGACTGTGTATAGATTTGAGGATGCCATGAGCAGTCCATGTGTGCAGCAGAGGAGGAGAGAAGCTTCAGTGATCACAGAAGCAGGGAGCCAGCTCCGATGGTCTGGTGAGTATAACTTTTTTTTTTTTATAGCACCTAGACACAAATGAGCACTTAACCCTTGCAGTGCAGAAGTAGCCCCACTGCAAAGGTTAAACAACTTTTTAACCAGCGTTCTTTTTTGAGTGCAATACATTTTTTTTTTTTTTTACATTTTTTTGTTAAATGCATACAAAAGAAAAAGGGGAAACACATCACGTTAGCAAAAGAGTTCCATCACCAGAGTTCTTCTTTAACTGACCAAACCGAAGAGAGAAGCTGGTTGGTTGCCATGGGTAATTGCTCTGGATTCTGTCCCAGTTTTGATAAATTCCCCAGTCTTTTCTGTCATAAAAGCCTTTTTTGTCGGCATTCTATGCTGTTGCAACTGTAGTTTCACTTAAATAAAATGATCCAATCCTTGTATGAACTCCAAATTACAGTGGACTGTGTTGTCATTTGTAAAATAATTTCTCTTGCGTGGAGAAAACAGTTCCAAAGCACATCCTTGTAATACTATTACAGGGCTTGAAAAATTTGATAGTGTCTCACCAGTCAGTCAAAAATTTCACCAGTCAGCATGACCGGACTATAGCCTTGCATTTTATGTTAAAAAAGTTTGGGGACAGATAGAGCTTTCTTTTGGAGGTATATAATCGCCACGGGAGGTATAATTTTTTACTATATAATTAAAGTACCATAAATGTAAAAAAAAATAAAGTTTCCCTACGTAATTTTTTTTTACGTACAACTTTATTGCTATTACATGGGGGCTAAGAAACCCCCTATGGGATAGCCAATTTACATGACAGGTCCTCTTTATGGAGACATCGGGGGTCTCCAAGACCCCTGTCACCTAGGGACCTCCAGAGAAGCTGATGAAGCAGAGATCAGCTTCATCAGCTTCTCTAGCTGGAGAGTGACACTGAATGCAGGAAGTGATGTGTAATATACATCACTTCCAGCATTCGGGGACTGAGAGGAGATCAAAGGGAGTTCGTGTACTGAACTCCCTTTGATCTCCTATCACAGAGCCGTGCCGGTCCGGGGCACAGCGGATCTCGGGACCGGCAGTGACAGCTTCTGATACAAGCGTCTCTCGAGACGCTCGATCGCTTGACGGTAAAGCTCCCGGCCGGCCGTGTAATTACAACAGCTGGCCAGGAAGCTGCTCGTCGGGCTCCACCGTCCTCTCGTCGCAGACGAGTGGATTTTTCGAGCCCTGACTATATAATATAAATGATGATTGATAAGTATGTTTTACACCACATTTGCAATTTTGTGTCCGCAACAATCAATGGATGAATTCAATTAAGTTTGTTTGAAACATGCCTATCAATCAGTCTTTATTCCAGTTACATAATAAAGGTGCCCATACACTGCTCGATTCTCGTACGAGAATCGGGCGAAATCCCGCGATCGTACGAGAATCGAGCAGTGTGAACTAAGACGTGCGACCGTACAGTAGAAACGGTCACACGTCTTTTGTCGAGCCAACATGCTTGAAAACCAGCCGAGAATCGTACGATTCTCGGCGGGTTTCTAGCCTGCTAGCCCGATAGCTGCGTAACGGGCCGATGTGCGCACGCGCACACTGCCCGTTCTGCATTGCCGTCATCGGAAGCCCGCCCCTCAGCGGGGCGGGCTTCCGATGATCGCAAGTACGATCTGCCCGTCTAAGGTGGGCAGATCGTTCCGGCTTTTAATGAGCATACGACCATCGCAAGACAAAAGTCTTGCGATGGTCGTAAGGTGTATGGGCACCTTTTAGATTGTAAGGCAGTGTTATGGAACTGTTTTTTCACACAAGAGAACCATTTTACAGCTGGGCGACACAGTACACTACAGTTTGAAGTTAGGACAAGGGTTGGACCCCTTTGTACATATGCATTTGTACAGGGGTTATTGATTTCCGTTACATATGAGAGAATTTTTTTAATTTAACCAATCGATTAGTTGAAAAAATAATCAGGCAACTAATCGATTATGAAAATAATCGTTGGCTGCAGCCATAGTTGCATACAAGCAATCCTGTTGTTGTAGTTCGGGTTTTCTATTCAGTGGTCTCTGTATTACTAACTATTGTTATTTTTACAGTATTTGCCTATTTATGTCACTACAATGATTTTAAAGCTTTTCTTATAAGTAGATTTAGAGAAAATAGCATTTAATTTTAATGTATTTTTGGTCAAATTAAGTAATTGGTTTTTATAACAAATCCTAATTGATTACACAAAACAAATACAGCTGTCCCATCCACCTCCACAGTCGGAGGATCTCATCTGCTTGTCGGGTTCCGGCTCCAAGGGCCTGCCACAGCCTGACAGGCACTAAACTCAGGCTCGGTGATCAAGCCATAATGGTGGAGCGCATGAGAGCGTGAAGTTGTGTGCCAGTATAGAGCTATTTGTGCCCTTGGTTTAAACAACATATGGAAGATTTATTTCTGTAGTGGGGCTTCCCTTTTTACACTTAAATCTAGGTGATTGTTATTTTATTTTAACATGACAGGTCCTCTTCTAGAATGTACGGATTTATAGTAGCGGTACTTCTTCCCTTTAACCATGTGTGGTTTATGTCTCTACAGCCATGAACATATTGAAATTTTAACTGTAAATGGAGAGTTACTGTTCTTTAGACAGCGAGAGGGTACTTTCTATCCAACACTGAGACTGCTTCACAAATGTAAGTCTTCATCACTATACTTTTACTGTATACATACAAGGATTAACGTTGTTGGGTTTAACCTTTTATGTGCCCAAACTTATTAAAGTGACAAAGTCAAAAAATACCCCCCGCCCCCATGTTAATGTCAGCACTTACCTTAAATGATGTCTTTTAATCCGATCTTCTTTCCTGTCGTTTTCATCTGTCCCTCCAGCGGTGCGGCGGCTCTCCGATCCGGCGCTGACTCCTCTCTGCTTGCTGGCAATTCCGATCCCGCGGTGTCTGCGTGCGAGTGCACGCGTCCATAGACTTACCTTGCGTCTCTGCTCGTCTTCCGGCCGAGAATCCAAACTGCGCATTCGGCCGCCCCAAGATCCTTTGCGGCCACACGGGCAGTTCCGGATTCTCGGCGCTGGAGCGCGCAGCGATAACGAGGTAAGTTTAAGCCGCTGTTAAAGCTGTTTTTTAAAAAACTTTTTGCCTATATCTACTGCTTTGTAGCAGTAGATATAGGCAAAAAAAACCCGGAGGCTTTAGAACCCCTTTAAGTCAACATAATAAACATTTCCACTGGATGTAACATTTCTTATACTTTAACCCTTTTGCTGCCAAGGTGTTTTTTGCACACGTTATAATCTACATTTTAGGCCTGAAAATTACTTCAAACTGCCTCGATAGATGGATAGATAATACATACTGAAAGAAAATGCCGTGTAGAATAAAATGGTGGCAGTTGCAAATCTTTAAGTCAGAATCAGCCAGATTTCTGCCAGACCCGGTGACAAACTGTATTTATTTGTACATAAAGTTCAATATACATTCCAATATATGGCTTCTTTAAAAAAATGTTTGCAAGGAAAGATACTACCCTATGTAAACCAACATCCACCCTTCTAGTAATAGAGTAGTGATGGGTTAGTGTGCCTCTTTACATTGAGGATAAGGTCTGCAGCACTGGAGAGTTTCTTTAAGTATGTTGCTGATGCATTTTTATTTATTACAGGTATTTATATAGACAATGTATGCAGCACTTTACATCAGTCCCTGCCCTCAAGGAGCTTACAAATCTAAGGTCCCTATCATACATGCATGCATACATACATGCATGCATACATACATGCATGCATACATACATACATACATACATACATACATACATACATACATACATACATACATA